TGTGTTGTGTGTGTGTGTGTTGTGTGTGCGTGTGTGTGGGTTGTGTGTTGTGTGTGTTGTGTGTGTTGTTTGTGTGTGTTGTATGTGTTGTGTGTGTTGTATGTGTTGTGTGTGTTGTGTGTTGTGTGTGTGTTGTGCGTGTTGTGTGTTGTGTGTGTTGTGTGTTGTGTGTGTGTGGTGTGTGTGTGTGTGGTGTGTGTGGTGTGTGTGTGGTGTGTGTGTGTTGTGTGCGGTGTATGTGTATTGTGTGTGGTATGTGTGTGTTGTGTGGGTGTTGTGTGTGTTGTGTCTGATGTGTTTTGTGTGTAGTTTGGGTGTTGTGCGTGTAGTGTGTGTTGTGTGTGTGTTGTGTGTGTTGTGTGTGTTGTGTGTGTGGTGTGTGTTGTGTGTGTGGTGTGCGTTGTGTGTTTTGTGTGATGTTGTTTGTTATGTGTGTTGTTTTTGTTGTGTGTTGTGTGTGTTGTGTGTGTTGTGTGTGTGTGGGTTGTGTGTTGTGCGTGTGTTGTGTGTTGTGTGTGCTGTGTGTGTTGTATTTGTTGTGTGTTGTGTGCTGCGTGTATTGTGTGTGTGTTGTGTGTGTTGTGTGTGTGTTGTGTGATTTGTCTGTTGAGTGTTGTGTGTGCTGTGTGTTTTGTGTGTGTGTGTGTTGTGTGTGTGGTGTGTGTGGTGCGTGTGTGTGTGTTGTGGGTGGTGTGTGTGGTGTGTGTGGTGTTGTGTGTGTTGTGTGCAGTGTGTTTTGTGTGCAGTTTGTGTGTTGTGCGTGTGGTGTGCGTGTATTGTGTGTGGTGTGTGTGTGTTGTGTGTGGTGTGTGTGTTGTGTGGGTGTTGTGTGTTGTGTGTGTTGTGTGTGTTGTTTGTTGTGTTGTGTGTGTTGTGTGTTGTCTGTGTTGTCTGTGGTGTGCGTGTTGTGTGTTGTGTGTGTGTGTGTGTGTGTGTGTTGTGTGTGTGGTGTGTGTGGTGTGTGTTGTGTGTGTTGTGTGTGTTGTGTGTTGTGTGTGGTGGGTGTGTGGTGTGTGTGGTGTGTGTGTGTTGTGTGTGTTGTGTATGTTGTGTGTGTGTTGTGTATGTGTGTGTTGGGTGTGTTGCATCGTGTGTGTGTTGTGTGTTGTGTGTGCGTGTAGTTCATGTTGTGTGTGTGAGTGGTGTGTGTGTTGTGTATGTGTTGTGTGTGTTCTGTGGGTGTAGTTTGTGTGTTGTGCGTGTATTGTGTGTGCTGTGTGTGGTGTGTGAGTTGTGTGTGTTGTGTGTTGTGTGTTGTGTGTTGTGTGCATTGTGTGTTTTGTGTGTGGTGCTGTGTGTGTGGTGTGTGTGGTGTGTGTGGTGTGTGTGTGTTGTGTGTGTGGTGTGTGTGGTGTGTGTCGTGTTGTGTGTGTTGTGTGTGGTGTGTGTGGTGTGTGTGGTGTTGGTGTGTGTTGTGTGTCGTGTGTGTTTTGTGGGTGTAGTTTGTGTGTTGTCCGTGTATTGTGTGTGGTGTGTGTGTTGTGTGTGCGTGTGTTGTGTGTGTTGTGTGTTGTCTGTGTTGTGTGTGATGTGTGTGTGTGTGTTGTGTGTGTGTGTTGTGTGTTGTGTGTTGTGTGTGTTGTGTGTGTTGTGTGTTGTGTGTGTTGTGTGTGTTGTGTGTTTTGTGTGTGTTGTGTGGTGTGTGTTGTGTGCTGTGTGTGTTAGTGTGTTTTGTGTGTGTGTTGTGTGTGTTGTGTGTGGTGTGTGTTGCGTGTGTTGTGCGTGTTGTGTGTGTTGTGTGTGTTGTGTGTGTTGTGTGTGTGTTGTGTGTGTTGTGTGTGTGTCTTGTGCGTGTAAAGTGTGTGTTGTGTGTGTTGTGTGTGTGTTGTGTGTGCTGTGTGTGTTGTGTGTGTGTTGTGTTGTGTGTGTTGTGAGTGTTGTGTGTTGTTTGAGTGTTGTGTGTGTTGTGTTGTGTGTGTTGTGTGTGCTGTGTCTTGTGTGTTGTGTGTGTTTTGTGTTGTGTGTTGTGTGTGTGTTGTGTGAATTGATCGTGTGTGTGTGTTGTTTGCGTTGTGTGTGTGTCCTGTGTGTTGTGTGTGTTGTGTGCTGTGTGTATTGTGTGTGTGTTGTGTGTGTGTTGTGTGCGTTGTGTGTGTTGTGTGTGTTGTGTGTGGTGTGTATGTGTCGTGTATGTGTTTTGTGTATGTGCGTGTTTTGCGTGTAGTTTGTGTGTTGTGCGTGTATTGTGTGTGTTGTGTGTGTGGTGTGTGTGTGTGTTGTGTGTTGTGTGTGTTGTGTGTGTGTTGTGTGTGTTGTGTGTTGTGTGTTGTGTGTGTGTTGTGTGTGTGTTGTATGTGTGTGTTGTGTGTTGTGTGTGTTGTGTGTTGTGTGTTGTGTGTGTTGTGTGTGGGTTGTGTGTTGTGTGTTGTGTGGTGTGTGTGTGTTGTGTGTGTGTTGTGTGTGGTGTGCGTGGTGTGTGGTGTTGTGTGTGTTGTGTGTGTTGTGTTCTGTGTGTGAGTTTTGTGTGTGTGTGTGTGTTGTGTGTGTTGTGCATGTATTGTGTGTGTTGTGTGTGTGTTGTGAGTGGTGTGTGCTGTGTGTGTTGTGTGTGTTGTGTGGTGTCAATGTTGTGTGTGATGTGTGTGTGTGTGTTGTGTGTGTTATGTGTGTTGTGCATCGTGCGTGTTGTGTGTGTGTGGTGTTCTGTGTGTTGTGTGTGGTGTGTGGTGTGTGTTGTGTGTGTTGTGTGTGTCGTGTGTGTTGTGTGTGTCGTGCGTTTTGTGTGTGGTGTGTGTGGTGTGTGTGTTGTGTGTGTTGTGTTCTGTGTGTGTGTTTTGTGTGTGTTGGGTGTGTTGTGTTGTGTGTGTGGTGTGTGTGTGTGTTGTGTGTGCGTGTAGTGTGTTATGTGTGTGTTGTGTGTGGTGTGTGTGTGTGTGTGTTGTGTGTGTTGTGTGTGTTGTGTGTTGTTTGTGTATTGTGTGTGGTGTGTGTGGTGTGTGTGGTGTGTCTGTGTGTGTTGTGTGCTGTGTGTGTTGTGTGTTGTGTGTGTGGTGTGTGTGTTGTGTGTGTTGTGTGTGTGTTGTGTGTTGTGTGGGTTGTGTGCGTTCTGTGTGTTGTGTGTGTGTGTTGCGTGTGTGTGTTGTGTGTGTTGTGTGTGGTGTGTGCGTTGTGTGTGTGTTGTGTGTGTTGTGTATGGTGTGTATGTGTTGTGTATGTGTTGTGTGTGTGTTTTGTGTGTAGTTTGTGTGTTGTGCGTGTATTGTGTGTGTTGTGTGTGTGTGTGTTTTGTGTGTTGTGTAATGTGTATTGTGTGTTATGTGTATTATGTGTGTTGTGTGTGTTGTGTGATGTATGTGTGTGTTGTGTGTGTGTTGTGTGTTATGTGTTGTGTGTGTTGTGTGTTGTGTGTGTTGTGTGTGGTGTGTGTGTTGTGTGTGTTGTGTGTGGTGTGTGTGTGTTGTGTGGGTTGTGTGTGTGGTGTGTGTGTTGTGTGTGTGTTGTGTGTGTGTTGTGTGTGTGTTGAGTGTTGTATCTGTGTTGTATGTGTGTGGTGTGTGATGTGTGTGTTGTGTGTGTGTGTGTTGTGTATGCGTGTGTTGTGTGTATGTGTTGTGTGTTGTGTGTGTGTTGTGTGCTGTGCGTGTGTGTTGTGTGTGGTGTGTGTTGTGTGTGTTGTGTGTCTCTTGTGTGTGTTGTGTGTGTTGTGTGTGTGTTGTGTGTGTGTGTGTTGTGTGTTATGTTGTGTGTTGTGTTGTGTGTGTTGTGTGTGTTGTGTGTTTTCTGTGTTGTGTGTGTGTTGTGTGTGTGTTGTGTGTCGTGTGTGTGTTGTGTGCGTTGTGTGTGTTGTGTGTGTGTGTGTGTGTGTGGGACGCTGGGGGCTTTGGTTGAACTCCTTATGGGGCCACGAAGCGCTGTACTGGGTGGGTCAAAATGCAAAATTGACTGTGTGGGGCGCATGTGGGCGATCCCACTGGAGGCTTTGGTGGAGCTCCCTATGGGGCCACGAAACGCAATATTGGATGGATCAAAATGCAAAGTTGAATATGTGGGGCGCATGCGGGCGGTCCCACTGGGTGCTTCAGTGGAGCTCCCTTTGGGGCCACGAAACTCTGTACTGGGTGGGTGAAACGCAGGGAGGGGGGAGGAGGGGGCCACGAAACGTTGTACTGGGTGTGCTGGACGCATGCGGGCGGTCCCACTCTGACTTTCGGTGGGGCTCCCTATGGGGCCACGAAACGCTGTACTGGGTCGGTGAGACGCGGAGGGCGGAGGAGGGGGCCACGAATCGCTGTACTGGGTGTGCGGGACGCAGGCGGGCGGTAGCACTTGGACTTTCGGTGGGGTGCGAAAAATGTGATGCGCCACAATGATGTGGAGAAGGCATGCGGGCCTGGCTCTGAGGCCTTTACGTGGAGCTCTCTATGGAGCACGATACATGTGAGCGGTGCGCCGAAATGGGCGTGCGAAGGGCAGAGGCAGAGATGGGAGGAGGGAGGAGGGGGAGGAGGCAGGAGGAGAGGAGAGGCGAGAACGCGGGAAGATGCGTACTCAAAACGAGAACCCAACACTACAATATGGTTGGGAAATGATAATCTCAAGAAGGAAAACATGACTCGTTGGTCAACATCGCTCCTCGAGGAAATATCCCGGTGAGAGGCCCCGTTTCTCTGTTTTTCCGAGGACAAATCGGGCCGACTGGTGCAAGGCCGAATCGTAGTCCCCGTACTGGACCTGGGACGAGTTGCTCGCCGGCATGGGTTCGCCTCGCCCGATTCGGCGGTTGAATGGGCGGAGCTCTGCAGGCGAGCTGAGCTCGAGGCCGAGGCCGCCAGGGCCTGACCACTAGAGGGCGTATAGGCCCTTTCTCGCCGCTGCGGCGGCAGGCGGACTTCGTCCGCCCGACCCCTAACCTAACCAAACCTAATCCTCCTCCTCCTCCAGGGATGAAGGGCCGGCCGCTGCCTTTGCTGGCTCGCGTGCTCTTACGCGTCGCACGTGCGCGCGGAGCTCCGCCGCATTGTCCACCCGACAGCATCTGCCGCCGCACTGGCCCGCAGCTCTCAGATTGGCATCGCGTAGCGCTGGGTCCTGAAGTTGGCAGATGGTTAGGTCGGGCTTTCCCCCCTACAGGCGGTTCTTGGACGGAAAACAAATAGCAAAAGATACTTCCAAATGTCCAAAAATAGTCAACACATCGTCCCCAGACTATTTTTCCCTGTCTTTGAATATTCCTCCTGTAGGGGGATAGGCCTGACTTCAGCATGTGAGGGCTGGGAAAGAGAGGGAGGGGGGGGCAGAATGGGGCGAGGTCGAGACTGCGAAACTCCGCTGCGCCTCCATGTATAGGGCACCCGCCAGTCAGCATGAGTGACTCACTAGGATTAGGTCGGGCCTGTCCCCCTACAAAGGGATTTTGGACAACAAATTCGAAATACTAAACAAATTCTCAAACATGTTTACACAGTTGTCCCCAGACTATATATGTGTATATATATATATTATATATAGATATGTGTATATAGACATAACAGAACAACTATGTTCGACTATTCCTCCTGTAGAGGGACAAGCCCGACTTAACACGAGGGCCCTGTGTACAAGTGCTTCCCTCGAGAAACAACGGATACACCGACTTCCTCCTCTTCATCCTCCGGTGATGTGGTCCCTGCAGAGCTTGTGCCCATGCTTAGCCTGCAAGCTTGAGACCAGCACTGCGGACGTGTCCGACCCGATCCTCTGCGAGGCCCTGCGCTCGGGTGGCGCGCAGAACGCTCGTGCACGCTGCGGCTCGACCTTTTTGTTTCTGCTCTTGCGAGACGTGATCGGCCACCCGAAGCTCTCGATTGACCCCCTTCCCTGGGGCTGTCCCCTTCGCACCCCGAGCCGTCTTCGGACGGCCCCAAGGGGTCCGCACCCAGCCTCCAGGAGGCCCCGCACGGGGAGCGCCGGCCGTCCCGATTTCACGCCACGGCCACTCGGGGGCGCGCAGACATGGCTTAGCAATCCATGGACTTGGCGCACGGCCGCCAAATCCATGGATCGGGGGCGGTGCCCTCCCAAAAAGGCGGCCAGTGTCGCCTCGCTCGGCGGCGGAAATCCGCAATTTCCCCTGGGAACGGGACCCGTCGCTAATCCACGGCCCCTTGATCCATGTTTGCGATCGCCTGGGCCACGGGAAGGTGAAGGAGAGGGTGGATCGTGTGCGGTTTGCAAAGGGTGTGGTCTGCAATCCGCGCCTCGTAAACACTTCACACTTGCAATGATGAGTGGCAATTCCTTTTCGAAATGAGGCCCTCGTTTGGTATTTTCTCAGGCTGTATGACAACGTGCAACATTTTGTGCCAATTGCTCGGACGGGGTGCGGCTCATTAAACATGTGGACATCGCGATTGCCTTCTTCGACGGACCCTGCCGCAGTACACCCCTGGCCAGGGCGCTGGTTGCCGCGTTGGCAGGGCGGGCGGGCTTATCGGCCTCTTGGCTTGTGCCGCTCCCCTTGTACTGAAGGACCACGCCCCAGAAATCCTGTCGAGCGCCAAGAGAAGGTGTCGAACGAGAATCGCCTCCCGGGGCCCGACGCGCGAACAAAAACCTTAAATTTCGGCACTTTCGCGGCGCTCGTGACCAGGGCTGAAACAACAGGTCCCCTCCTCGGTCCGTGCTCCGTCCTCCCAAGGGGCGCTGCCACCGGCTCTGCCCGCTCCTGGGGGTGCTGGACCTGCCGAGTGCGCAACCGTCGCCACTCTGCTGTGGCCCTGCAGGCTCCAGCGGATTTCGGTCCTGCCGGAATCTGAATTGTTCCTGCCGGCTGCGTAACAATCGTCCTTCCATCCGCCCTCCTCCCTCCCTCCGTCCTGAAGTGCGATGCAAACGGCTTCTGCCATAACCGATACTGTACCAGCACCAAGTGTTGCCCACACAGGGCACTCGGGCGTCATCGCGCCTTCTTCGTCACCAGAGGCACACTGTCGGCACCAATCGGAACAATTTTGGCACGGCAGGCAACGGACCCAAAGAGCAGCGGCGTTTTTTTCCCCGAGGATGTCCAAACCACATATTGCGGTCAAAAGACATCACGCCTCTGCTCAGTTCCTCTCCTCCTTTCAACAATCCCCTCCGTGTGTTGCGACCACCTACAGTTCTCAGCATGCCGACATGTCAGCTCTCCCCTCCTCTTTGCTTCCTGTAGCACGCTTGCTTTCTGACTACTCACCCCCCTCCCATGCCAAATCGGAGTTATGCCAATCAGCCGCCTCAGACGCTCTGGTTCTGTCTTCAACGTGGCAAGGCCAACTACAAGATGGACTCCTCATGCACTGATTGCTTCCGTCCCATTGGCAATGGGCCTTCCTGGCATGAACACGCGTGGCCCCAGGACTCAGCGAGCAAGGGGTGCGCTGTGCCTACACCCAAAGGTGGCGCGGCGCCGTCAGGCAAGGCGCAAGACATGCCCGCGCATGACCAGGTGGCAACCTGGGCGGTGGCCATGAGCATGGTGCCAGGTCCTCCCGGGGATGTCTCAGAGGAGGAGGAGGAGGAGGAAGAGGAAGAGGAAGAGGAGGAGGAGGAGGAGGAGGAGGAGGAGGAGGAGGAGGAGGAGGAGGAGGAGGAGGAGGAGGGGGGCATGGAAGGGAGAGGAAGAGCAGGGACGAGCAGGAGAGGGCCTCCGAAAGCCAGGCCCCCCCGCGGGTCTGCGGGCAGGGCCCCCAACACGACACGAGAGGCACCGAGGAGCTGGGGGGGGGTAGGCGCGGCGGCGGCGCGCCAGTCGGAGAGCTGGCGCGTCACGCCCTCGGGCAGCACCTCCTGCGCGGGGGAGCGAGCGGAAGGAGGCGCCGAGCCTCGTCCTCGTCTGGTGGCGCGCACAAGGGGGCGGAGGGAGGGGGGAGGGCTTCTTAGAAGGAGGCTGCTTCTTAGAGGGCGCGGGTCTTGCATCTGTAGATGAGGCCCGCGCCTTCTAAGAAGTAGGGGTGCTTCCAAGAAGCCCTCCCCCTCCCCCCACCCCCCTCTGCGCGTGGCTGACTCGTACTCGGACGCCTCCTCGAAGGCCCTCTTTCTCGTACTCGTCCCCCTCCTGCTCCTCCCTCGTCCAGGCAGGTGGTCGACGGAGCCTTGTCCATGCCATCCAGGCTGCAAGAGAACCTGGCGACTGCCTCCGGCTGTGCGAGGTGGAGCGCCGCCCTTTTTTCTCTGAGGCATGCCTCCTGAGATGCCGTGCAGGTGTGCAGTATGGTCGCGCGCTCGCTCCTTCCTCGTCCCCTCCCCGTGCCCTCACTCCACCCCCTTTGGGAGGAGAACGGGGGATAACTGTAACGATGATGGTGATGGGCAGGAGGAGGAGGAGGAGGAGGAGGAGGAGGAGGAGGAGGAGGAGGAGGACGAGGGCGAGGAGGAGGAGGAGGAGGAGAAAGAGATCAGAGGAGGGAAAGAGGATGATGAGGGAAGACGAAGAGGAAGGGAGGGAGGAAGGCCTCACAGCGCTGCTCCTCTCTGCCCTTTCTCCTCCTCCTCGTCCTCCGTACTCCTGCCCTGTCCCCTTCTGGTCCGCCTCGGGTTGCTGGGACGACCACACAAAAATCTTCTCACGCGGGCAGCCTTGGGATCGCCTGCCTGGTCGGCGAAAAGCCGTCTCGGAAAGAAGTCGCCCGCTCGCCCACCCTCGGGCTCTGCCCCCTCCGCCCCCGCCCCTCGCCCTTGCCCTCCTTTCAGGCCCGGCTCGCAGGATGCTGAACGAACGGGAAACATCAGCGCGCCACTCTCATCGGCGACCGAAGGGTTCCCCGCCCTGTCCCTTTGCCCCCCCGCTGCCCGACGCTCCCCTCTCCCCTGGGGCAGGCCACAGGGTGACATGTTGTAGTGCGGCCAGCCTCAATCACCCTATGCTTAAACGAACAGCCGTTCCTGAAGGTGACCTCCCCGGCCCAAGTCCGAGCCCGAGCTCGAGCCCCAGACCCGGGCATTCGCCCGAGCTCGAGCTCGAGCCCGAGCTCGAGCTCGCCCCCTCCCTTTCCCTGCCCCTGCCCCCTGCCCCCCCCATTCCCGCCAACCACCCTCCTCTCGGTCTTGCCCCACCAGCTGATTTCGATTCGGGGACCCTTCGGCACGCCCTTCGCCTACGTAAGCGGAACGCGCTTGCTTCTTAAACATTCCTCATTCCCCTCCGCCTGCTCCCTCCTCTTCCCTGCCCGCCTTCCTCCCCTCCATTCGGGCCCGAATGCGGGCATTCTCCTGGAGGGGCTGAAGACCCAGGCACTCGTCCTTCTCGCCACCTCCTTTATCATCATCACCACCCCTCCTCCTCCTCCTCCTCCTCCTCCTCCTCCTCCTCCTCCTCCCCCAACTCCTCCTCCTCCTTCCAAAACTCCTCCTCCTCCTCTTCCTCCTCTCCTCCTCCTCTCCTCCTCCCTCTCGTCCTCCTCCTCCTCCTTCTCTCCTCCTCCTCCTCCGACTCCGCCTCCTCCTCCTCCTTCCTCCTCTCCTCCTCCTCCTCCTCCTCCTCCTCCTCCTCCTCCTCCTCCTCCTCCCCCCTCCCTCGACATCCGACACCGTGACTTGTTCACAAAGGCTGGCCCCAGAGGTTTGGGTGGGCCCCATCCCGGGGACCGACACATCATCCTGAACTGCTTGTCGACGGCCTCCCCGGGGCACGGTGAGGGCCGCGCGAAACCGAACACGGCAAAAACAAAGCCACACTTGTTGGGGGCCGCTCTTTCCACGACGCAAGGATGTGAGGGGGTGCTTGTCTTGCCATCGCTCGGACGTTCACTCCCCGGTCGTTGTTCGATTTCGTGCGTGTCAATTTCGCACGATGATTCAAGATGCTCCTCGCCGAGAAAAAATACACACACGTCCGAGCAATACCAAGTGGTGGGTGGTCCTGCATCAGGGAAGCAGGTCTCGAGCACAGCAGCAAGCACCACGACCACGCCCACGCCGACGACGTGCTCGCAGACGATCTCTGCAACGAAACACTGACTCGGGAGAGGGCCCACCCTGCAGGTGGACCAGGAGCAAGAGGGAACGTGGTGGCAACGACTCGGCTCACGCAGCTGACTTCTCCAGCGCCTCCCGGCGCCAAGAATGTCGAGGACATGGCGTGGTGGCGGGGCTGAAAGCAGCTGCATGCAGCAGCAACCCTGGGTGCCTCCTCCTGCTCCTGCTCCTGCTCCTGCTCCTGCTCCGCCTCCTCCTCTTATTCTTCTTCTTCATATTCTTCTTCTTCTTCTGGAGGGGAGGGAATGCTCCTGGAGGGGCTGCGGACCCAGGCACTCGTCCTTCTCGCCACCTCCTTTATCATCATCACCACCCCTCCTCCTCCTCCTCCGCCTCCTCCTCCTCCTCCGCCTCGTCCTCCGCCTCCTCCGCCTCCGCCTCCGCCTCCTCCTCCTCCTCCTTCTCCTTCTCCTTCTCCTTCTCCTTCTCCTTCTCCTTCTCCTTCTCCGCCTCCTCCTCCTCCTCCTCCTCCTCCGCCTCCGCCTCCGCCTCCGCCTCCGCCTCCGCCTCCGCCTCCGCCTCCTCCTCCTCCTCCTCCTGCCCCTCCCTGGGGCACCGAAGGCCCTGGGACCCCAAGGAGCGCGTGGCTCTGGCTCCGCCCCCGACTCGGAAAACAAGGTCGACGACGAGGCGCCGGATGGCGCCTCCGAAATGGGCGGCCGGTGCGCGGCGTGCAACGCCGGCCACAGCCGCGCGGGCCCCGTGCCGCCGCCGGGTGCGTCGCGGGCGTGCGGGCTGCCGTCGAGGGCGGGGTCGCCAGAGC